CTGGAAGGGGCAGCAACGCTTCTCACCACCATAGACAGCCCTCAGCAGGACACATCACGGGAATAGCACGATCCTCCTCACACCTCTCTCCCAAAATTCTCTCATTTCCTCAATCTCTCAGCTGAAAGGTAGGGAGCGATTTGTAGTTATAGCCATGAGTGGTTCAAACGGAAGGAATGTCTATATTTATAGGCCCAAAGGCGACTGAACAGCCTAAGATCCCCACGCCACATGGCGAACTACGGAAGGTCACAGCCAGTGTCAGATGCCCGTGTGAGGTTAGAAAATCGAGACCCTCCCAAAGGCAGAGCCGGTACAGCATCGACGAGACCACTCGGCCCCGCCTGGGTCACAAACCTTGAAATGCGGCACATTGGCACGGTAGGGCTCAGCAGTCGCGTACCACGTCGTTAGGGCATCCTAATGAGGCAGAATGTAATGACCACCTACCGCATTAAACACACTAGCCCGCGAAGGGTCGAGCGATGAAGATTAGACAAGCCAATACTATGAACCCACGCCCAACGCGCACGCATCTCAGCGCTTTCACGATCACTACGCGATCCTAAAAATGCTCGAGGGCTACTGTCGGGGTTATAACCCCAGGTGTCTATAGGCATCGATAAGTTAGCAGGCCATGCGGCCCACAATACACTAGCTAGCGAAGGCTTGAGCGATCGAGGCCTAGCTAAGCTAAGTAAACCAGGCCGAACGCTAAGGCCAGGGTTAGCCATGACCCCTTATTTCTGCCTTAGCCGCACAGCGCATGAAAGACGCATGACCCCTCCACCATCCTGACCCCTGGAAGGAACGGGGAGGGGTCGAGCCTAGCCAAGTGTGACTGCTCTGACAAGAACAAGCATGCCGCACTGACCCCGCAAGCACCGAGGGGATAGCGGTCACCTCGGTCCAGTCAAACGATACCCCTGCGCCATGCTGCGCAGACAAGACAACACCGCACGGCGGTGACTACCAGTACGGCGACCCATCATCCAAATATGGTCTGACAAGACACATGTATGATCCCAACCACTACAAGATGGGATCCACGACGAAGGCCTTGACTTAGAGGCCACCCAGATCGGTGGGAGCCATGACCCCAATGATCAGGATCGTGGCCCTCAGCACCATAAGCCAACATGGTGATCGACGACCCGAGGGCGGCTACCAACTCCTGTATGATTCCCCAGGAAACCAGGAGGCGATGACGAAGACCACGGTGAAGACCACGTCACATAGGACGGCTAGGGAACCACCACCATGCCTATAATGCCGCCATGGCCGGCACAGTAACATCACTCCACACCATACACGTGACGTGGCCACAAGACCATGACGGCAACCACGCCCGGACGTACACCACAAGACGGCGTAGCTTGCAAGCCAAGTTAGCTAGGCCCTCCCTCAGGCTCACGACCATTCCGTTGGGAGAACCTTCCTCTTTGTACATGTCTTAGCCCCGAACTCTATATAAGGGCAGTCAGGGCATCCTTCCCGTTCATCCTCTACCATTTTAGACATTTTTCATTGTTGTAGGGCTCCTGGAGCTTCCCTTCAAGCAGTCCATCTCCCAGCTCTAACTCTCCTACCTCTTCCATCATTCTTGTGCCCCCCATTGTAAGAACTTCAGAGCATTCAAGCGAGGAACACGTAATCGATAATCTCTAAGACTAGACGTAGGGCTCTGGCTTGAACCAGTATAAATTCTCGTGTCTTTTGGATGCTACCATCGTCTTCCTAGAGCAGCACTGCAATCCTATAAATTTACTAGTCCAGTTTACAAAACACCGATAATCCTCCTCTCACATTCACTAGGCAGACACCGCAACGAGCTCCTCATCAATACCCCCATTTCGAGCTCCTCTCACCCTCACCACCTAAGCAGTTGAGCGCCCCCCTAGCGGTGGAGCGTCATGACGCGTGGGTGGCGCCCAGTGAGCTACAGTAGGCATGGCTGAGCCCGGCGAGCCACAGCACATGAAGTCGAGCCCCTCAAGGCGAGCGGCACGGCGAGCTGATCTTCCACCCAATGCATTAGCCTCTCCACATCCGAACTCATGACCTGCGCTGCTAACGACCTCTCTCTCTCATGTGGACGGACTGCACCCGAGCGTCGCTTGCTGGCTACTGCAGTTCCCCGCCAGGTAGGCCATGGTCGCCGACGATGCCGTGTTCTAAGTGTTTTAGGTGTTTTATACGTATGTTTTAAGTGTTTCATCTAGATGTTGCGAATGTTGCAGTGGCCATATACGCATGTTGCAAGCGTATGTTTCATGTTATAAACATATGTTTCAAGTGTTTTAGACGTATGTTTTATCTGGATGTTGCAGAGTATATCTGGATGTTGCATAACATGCATGTTGCAAGCGTATGTTTCAAGTGTTTTATATGTATGTTGCAAGTGTTTTATCTAGATGTGGCATGTGTTTGCAATGGCTTTCAAGTATTTTCAAGTGTTTTTGAAAGTGTTTCAGTCGTATGTTGCAAGTGTTTTAGCTATTTTGAACGTATGCTGCAAGTGTTTTATCTGGATGTTGTAAAAGTAGATGTGGTGTTGCACATATTGCAATAGGACCCACCTACCGCCGCTGCGTGCTGCAGCTGCTGGGGCGCCATCGAGCAGGTGCAAACGTCCGGACGAGGGAAGTGGAAGGGCCACGAGCATTCCCTGTGTGGGGTCGAGCGGCGCGGGCGACGTCCGGGCGATGTGGGTCCCTGTGTTGGCGTGTGAAACGCAGTGCAGTCGGCAAGGGAAATGGGGTGCAGGCACAGGTGTTCGGCCGGGTATTAGCACTGCATAACATTTATTGGTGAAGATTTGAGTTTTGGCCCCGGTGATTGAGCCAATGGCTTTTACCAAAGGATTTTCTTTTGGTACCAAGTTTCATGTATGACTTGTTTCAGAAAAAAAGTTTCATGTACGAATATGATGATGTCAAATCTAATCTACGAAGTATAAATATAAATCAAAACGAGAAACACGAACTTTCGGGGGTATTCCAGCGATTTTAATTGTGGGCACTGTATCTGTATGTACGGGCTTGGGGCTTTCATTATTCCCATGGAGACCAGCTTCCATGGGCCTTGTTTGGCTGGCTGGCTGGCCAGCCTACTCACGAAAGTACTGTTCACGTGAACCGTATTTTCAGATAGAACAGTATTTTTCTCTCACAACAATCAGCCGAAACAGTATTTTGGCTTATTTTTCAGTCCTGCCAAACAGGGCTACGCTAGATTTTTTTTTCAGTACTGAATTACTGATGCAGGAACTGAATTTCTTTCTGCTCTTTTTTTTCTTTTGGACGCAGCGCAGGAACTGAAATGAGGCCTTCTTTTACAGGGCGAAATTGAGTTCAGACTTCAGATACGTCTAATGTCTTTTTTTTAAGGGTAAAGTATAATTTACACCCTCAAACTATCGTCAAAGTATATATTTCAACCTCGAACTTCAAAACCGGATAACTTTGGCCCTCCAACTCTTGAAAAAGTTCAAATTTCAACCTTACCAAGTTACGCATATGAACAGTACTTTTGATATTTTTAGGAGGCGCTTAAATTTTATTTTTTTTTAAAGCATATTAATGTCCTCAAATGAAAAAAGTTTTTTCTGTGATGAGACTCTCATTTCAAAAACAACTAGAAATAAAAAAATATTTCATTTAACTCATGGATGAATAATTTTTATATATAAATTGTATAACTCGATGAGATCTACAACTTTTATAGTTTTGAGTTTTTTCATTTGAGGACAGTAAGATGCTCAAAAGATAATATAAAATTTCAAACTATAATAATTGCTAACTAGCGCTTTACAATCGATTAGAGCACTAATATATTATTTGTATGGAGTTAAATGAAAATACTTTTTATATCAAAGTTGTACCTCTCAATGAGATCTACAATTTTGTAGTTTTGAGTTTTTTCATTTGAGGACGTTAAGATGCTTAAAAAAATAATATAAAATTTCGACGCCTTCTACAAATATCAAAAGTACTGTTCATACGCAAAACCGCCTAGAAGGTTGAAATTTGAACTTTTTCAAGAGTTGGAGGGCCAAAATTATCCGGTTTTGAAGTTCGAGGTTGAAATCTATACTTTGGCGATAGTTGGAGAGTGTAAATTATACTTTACCCTTTTTTTAATAACAAAAGGCCGGTTCAAATTGTATCTGTTTCGAAACATAGGCTATAATAACTTTTTTAGGCTACAGTTTGTATGAACCAATCTGCATTCTGTAGAGAAATGAAATCATATCTCAGCGCAGCTCCGCACTGAAAGTCTGAAACTTCCAGCTGATGAATCGTGGTTTGGACTACTCCAAAAATGATTCCCTTTTCTGCCTTTTCTACTACGTTGGAATTGGAAAGTTTGAATATGCTGCCTTCAGAACTCGATCTCGCTGCAGATAGAGAACTAACGCTGAACGAATTTTGAGCTGGAGTCCATTTTTCAACTCGTCAAAGAAAGCATGCCACCGACCCACACCGTGATCGTCAATGGCATGCGGCGCCAGAAGAGTGTGGAAGGCGACGATTCCTTGCGTAACGAAGAAACGGAAGAAGCGTGAAGAAACATCTGTTCGTGATTCCAAATTGGAGAAACAGCCAAACAAGCTTATCTGGAAATTGCATGTCATCTTCTCCCTCGTATGTGCAGAAGTAACTAAAGCCATTCAACTAAACAGGTAGCAAATTTTTCCGAACTCCAGCAGGAATCGAACTGCTTTGCGTGAAAATTTGTGTCCCAAAGTCCAAACCTTGTGTTTGGTTCATGGAAGGAAGAACAGAAACCACACAGCACGATCAAATTCAAACCACAGAGCAGGATCAAATTCATGGGAGTTGGCACTGACAGCCTGACACCTCGATTCACTTGTGCAGTTGTACTCTACACAATCATCTCAAGTGTAATTCTGTCTTGTACGATAGTAGTATAAATTGCACCCAGGAGATGAGATACATACATACATGATCACAAAAAGGATGGAGAGGGGGAAAAAACTAACAGACAAAAGCTACCAAATTCGGAGCGCGTTCCGAACTTCCGATTGCCGATAGTACCGAGGTACGCACAAGATCAGTGGCGCCTCCCCTTGGCTTTGGCGCTGCCGCCGTCCCTGCCCTTGCCCTGCCCTTGCCCTTGCCGCCGCCGCCGAAGAGCCTGCAGAAGCCGCAGACGGCGACGCGCGGCGACGGCGGGTCGAGCGCGGGCGGCACGCGCCCCGTGGCCCTGTACCCGGCGTGCGCGTGCCCAGCCGAGCGGCTGCGCTCCACTGCCCGCGCCGCGTCGTCCTCCGCCGCCGGCTTGATCTCCCCCGAGAAGTTCTTGTCGTCCCACACCAGCCCCGACGAGCCCGACCGCCGGAACGTCTCGCAGGACCGCTGCAGCCCCGCCATGCACGAGAGAGAGAGAGAGAGAGCCCTCGGCCGGCCCCTAGCTCGCCCGCGCGCGTCTGTGGATGCCGAGGCGAGGGCGAGGCGAGCTGGCGTTGAACTTCTGTGCAGCGGTGCAGGTAGATGTAGATAGATATACGGTGGTGGTACTGTATAACTGTAGACGCCGTCGTCGCCGGGGGCGGTTGCGAATGCGATCAAAAAGAAAATCTTTTATGGAGGGCACGAAGGAGGGAACTGGAAGGGACGTGTGCGTTTGACCCAGACGAATGAAAAAAAGAAAATGCCCGCGGCGTCCTTGCGATAATGCTACTCTGATGGCCTGCTGACCGAATGATCCCACCTGCTCCGTTTCCTTGTGACGTCGGGCGTCCGTTGCGTGCGATTCGCGGGGCGGGGCGGCGGTGGCCCAAGCAGAGCAGCGGGCCCGCGGCGACGCGTTCGGGGAAGGAGAGGTCGGACGCCCCGCGCGGGGCCTGGTTGCGCGTGTGTTTCACCAACCGTGCAAGGAAGGTAGCAGCCGGGAGGGGCCGAGGGAGTGGGCGAGTGGCGGCACCGGTACGGTACGCGTACACGGGGCTGCTGGTCCAAGGAGGTGGACCAGCTCCATGGAAGGGAGAAGGGACAGGTCAAGGAATGAATATCCTTAGTTTTGGTCACGGACAACCTGACCATATGTTGTTTACTCCGGTTACCTACAATAGCTGCTGGTTCTTGACGACAAGCTAGCGAGTCCACTCGTGGGATTGGGCAAACAGAACCAATCATGCCCCTTGCATTGCATACGATGGTGACGAAATGGCACTAGGCCTACGTACGTACATGATGCTAAACATACCCGAATCCAATCAACACGCGTCCCATGAGCCAATCAGGCATAGCTTGTGCCATGTCGATTTCAAGGGTCCATCGTTGTCATACGGGAACGGGGATTGCACAAGTGCACACAGATCACGTTCCTCTCGAGAGCTAGAGCGCTCGCGGGCTCAACGGCACGGCCACTTCACTGCTAGTCCATTTCGTTGAGAATAGGAGAATTTGTACCGATTCACAGCTAATCAGCTCAAAATTTCTTGGGTAATCCACTTGTTTTCAATACACATCAGCATGCCTCGTTATCAAGGCTGCCAAAAAAAAAAAGAAACACCGGCTCCGGCGACGACGAGGACGAGGACGTCGCCAGCGACCATCGCCGGCTCGCCGCTGCTCCCGCTCCCGCTCCTGCAGCCGCGTCGCGGCGGCGCTCATCGTGTTCGCGCTCGGGCTTGTGCTCTGTTTCGTGCGTGACCCGGATCGTGCGAGGCCTTCGCTTCGGGCCGGCGCCTCTGCGGCTCGTCAACATCACTTGGTACGATTTCAAGATGTACAGATATACGTACCAAGGTACCAGCCCTTGAATACGACTATTTCACATGCAGTATTCACAAAAAGAATATATTATCTTAGATTACTGAATCCAGCAATGTAAATTTTATACTCTTAATCAATCATGTTTGACTGATGGTTTCTGCGGCTGATAAGTCGATTGAGGTTGTTTTGTTGTGAGAAAAACATTGTATCATAGTGTTTATACCAAAATTTAGAAGAAGAGTCGCAGGGACTCGAAAGCTCCCAAGATCATGTCATCAAGGAATCAATTACGTGTAAATCGGAACCAGCTGATTCAGATTAAAAAATATTAGAATCGCCTTTCTTCAGATAGCGCCAGCGGATAACGACAAAGGCTACGTTCAGCGCCAGGACGAAACATGTTGGACTCTACAAAAAGGGAAAGATCAGAGTCCAAGTTATCTTAAATTAGAAATGTTTTCTCTAGGGTCAAAATTATGATGAGTCGTGCTTAGACAGTAGTCACGCGCAGGTCCCGGGTATAAATATCAAGCCCCGGTTATTGTAAAGAACAACAATCAATCCAATATACAAGTTATTTACTTTTTCGGCTCCGATCACCCCTTAGGAGTAGGAGTAGGAGTAGAGTAGATCTCGGCGAGTTCTTCAGCAAGTACGGCTGCATCGATCCGGTCGACCTCCACTACTTGTTGTAAGTACCGTCATGGCTTATACCTCTGTTCGTATGGCTGCATCGATCTGGTCGACCTCCATTGCGACTCTGGTATAAGTTAGTTATTGATTCTTGCCTAGTTTAGGTGTTTGGGATATCACCTCCCCTCAGCAAAGATGATTTATTTGTTAATTGATCTAAAGTTGGTGGTACTATTCACAATTCATTGTTACAAACAGCAGCATCAGCTTTATGTTGGACAATTTGGATAACAAGAAATGAAGTGGTTTTTGACAAATGTAGACAAATTTTTTTTTTGCAGGTACTCTTCAGAGGAACCCATTGGCTGCGGCAATGGGCAAGACTGCAGCGGCGTGATGATCTATGGGACCAGCTGACATCTGCTGGGCGGCTTTTGGAGACATCAGCCTTGCATTTCTTTAGTTCCAATGGGTGGTTCTCAAATAGATTTATCGGTCTTTCTTAGTCAAGACTTTACTTCACACTTTGTGTTTCCAAAGTCTGGCTGTAAGCTTGTGAACTGTGTAAGTTGTGTGCTCACCGTTGGGTCGAACCTTGTAATAATTAGCCTGATTCTATCTCATGGTAGATGAAGCCGGATATAGACTATCCTTTATCTAAAAAAAGTATGGCTGCGTTGATCCGGTCGACCCCCACTGCATGAACTAGATCAAGGTCAAGTTATCGGCTCTACCTTAGAATGACAGTCTTTGATAGATTCATTAAGTTACCGATATTGCTTATTGCTTTCACTATTTATCTAAATTACGGCAATATCACTCTGTCCGATTGGGATTGATCTAGATCGGCCTTATATCTTGTTTAACCCATCGTTTATTAATCTGAAACTGATCTAATCTACACATTAAACGATGAGTTACGTTTTATCGACTGTTTTACGTCAATCTTGAGCGGTTAAAGCATGTTGCGTCTTGAGTAGATTTATTGGCTAGCGAGAACCGTTCCATGGCCCGTTATCACGGCCTGTGTGATTCTGCCTCATACCCCACTGTTAGCACCGTGGAGTAGGGATCGTTATTTGATAGATCTATTCCCGATAAGACATGACTTTAACTGTGCGCTATGCCTGAATCGACTGTTTTAGCCGATATCGAGTACTTTCACGAACAGTTCGCATCACGAGACCATTGAAGTAAAGATAGGTTGAAAGATATGTTAGCCCCATGATCTTATTATTGTATTACAGCATGTATGATTCTGCCTCATGCCCCACTGATATTAGTAATGAGTTAGGGTTGTCGAGTCTATTGTTATTTCTACGGCCTGCATGATTCTGCCTCATGCCCCACTGGTCATAGCGATAGATGAGATCTAACATGTTCATTAGATTTATCTTTATTAAACGGTTGAGTGATGTTGAATTGTTTCTTTATATAAAAAGGGGTTCGGTTACTTGTAATCATTGGCTTAGCATAAACCAATCATTGTTGACATCTTACTGCCAATGATTAATATTTGTTCAAATAACGACATTTACCCTGAATGATAATCGATTTTTCTTATACAACCCAATGAGTTTTAACCGATTTATTCTCATGAATATGCTGGAGTCGGCTGTTTAGTCGATCTCCTTTCATATCGGCTCTCAGAGCCGCACATTCGGGACTGTCTGGCAACACCGGCAAGTTGCACCCTTAATTACTGATGAACTTTCTCTCCTTGTCAATTATAGGGTCAAATTGACTGGCACGTCTCGGGAGGAGTGCGCGGGATCGATCATCCCTGCGCTGAAGCTAGGCGGATCACAGCTCCATCGAGTAGACCCTTTCGGCTTGCTACTTGTGTCCTCGGCACGGGACGAAAATTCTGTGTCGACACATGTTTCTGGCACGCCCGGTGGGACCCCACAATCGTCCTAGCGGTTCACAACAACAACGACATCCTTATGCTGCATTATGAAGATCTACCTGATGGGGATAAGGGTATCATCAGCAAAGCTACAAAAGAGTTTCAGAACAAATATTTGTTGTTCTACACCAAAACACGTAACAACACAATTGTTCAGAAATTTTCACTACTAAGAGTTCTACTACACGGACCGACAGATACAACTGAAGATGAAGACAGACGTTTCTTTAAGGAAGTTGTAGATAAATCTGTTCATAATGCTATATCAAGCCATAACGAAGCTTTCATGGACATATTCCACAACACCATGAGAGGCGATTCATGGATTTTCAGTTGGTCAAGCCGGACCGGCTTATTACAACATTCCAGATCCGTCGACCCAAGGGACCAATCAAGTCGGTACCAGCCATCAAGAAGCAGCACCAGCTAGTAGTGGTGACGTCCAGACAGTTCAGGGTTCATCTAAACAGGCTCAAGGAACTACTGCAAATCAAATAGAGTACAATCCTGGACCATCAATACAGCATGTGCAATAGCCGGCGGGGCAAAGTCAGAATCAGGTGATCAATTTTGGCACATCAGACCACATACCATCATCGGCTCAAAAAATAGCACCATCAATTCAAAGGATCCATAGAGATATAGATCCTTATGTCTACAATTAGAGACCAAGCAGCAAGCCAGCAAAGGGCCCAGCAGATTGAGATTCCACATGGGTATCACTATGGCACAGATTATAACACCCTCCACATGATGCCAAATCCAGGATATCAAGGCACGTGGGATTTCAATCCACAGATGGGTCAGCAGGTGCAGAGGAATCCAAATTCACAAGTTGATGAATTATTGCTGTGGGTGACCGAGATGATGAAGAATCAGTTCGGTCTGAAGCCAAAAGGGCTGACCTTTTCGTACAAACGCCCATATCCAAAATGGTATGATTTGGTCGCTCTTCCCACAAATTATAGGCTCCCAGAATTCACTAAGTTCACTGGCCAAGACAGTACAAGCACGATAGAACATATCAGTCGGTATCTTATATAATTGGGTGAAGCGTCAGTTGAGTATGCCCATCGAGTTTGTTTCTTCTCTTTGTCCTTATCAGGGTCAG